TTTTGGGTAGATAAGTGTCCTGGAGGCAGATAAAGAAAGGTGGCATAAGTCAGGCATCTCTGGTGTCTGAATGTAACCTCTTATGCCCTCTGAATGTAACCTTTTGCTTATGCCATTATTACAGTCATTCCAATAAAATTACCCTTGCAGGTCAGAAGTTCCCATCATGCACCGATGTCATGACACTTCTGATCAAGACTAAATAAGAATAAAAATCCCTCCTCCCCTCTGGAAGGTGGAGCTGGGATGGAAATCAGAAAATATGACCCTAGACCCCTCTCTCTCCAGTGAATATTCCACCTGTTCATTTTCACACCCCATATAACCAGCTTGCCAAAGAAACTCAGCACAGCTACTCACCTAAGTCTGCCTGCTCTCCCCTTGAAAGCATACTATCACTTAATAAATCCTCACTTTACTTTCTTGACCTCTGTGTCTTGTCTCCGAGTTCTTTCTGCAGAATGAGAACCTACTCTCCAGTAACATTTCTAGCCTATCTCTTGTTATAGTTGATAATTAGTTGTGTTAATTCTCTGTTCAAATTATTGTCTGGTTTCTGTCCCTTGATTGGACTCTGATTGATAATGGATGAAACTTTAATGTTCCAAATTGTTCCAGGAAGTTATTTGTTGTCTGTTAAGATGAATGATGCAAACTTTTAAGAAATGACTGTGTGTTGAACAGATACACTGTTACCTATGATTAAGTGGAAAAAAATGTAAGTAAAACAATATGTAGATCCTGGTCTGTGATTTTGCAGTTTATAAGAAATATATATATTTTGACATTCAGATGGCTGAAATATAGCTCATTCAGATGACCAAGTATATTTTTCAATATGTTTGATCCTCAAATATATGTGAGTTCCTGGCTCACAGCTCCCAAAACTCTTGGAATTTCCTGAGTGATAAGAGCAATGGAAGCATCATTTGGTTTCTTATCTTCAGTTCCTGAAAACACTTCAAAGTCATAAAGGTGAAACAGGTGTCGTTATTCATAACAAGCCCTTTATACCACGTCTTGGTTTATGTTAATGAAGGTAACTTTTGCAAAGCACCTAAGGATGTGGCCTGGTCACCAGGGCAACCAACCATGAATAGAGGGTTAGAACTTGTAGTCCCACCCCCTGATTTCCAGGAAGGAAAGAAGGGCTGGAGGTTGAATCAGTCACCAATGGCCAAGGAGTTAATCAATCATGCGTACGTGATGAAGCCGCCACAAAAAGCAGAAAAAAAAAAAAAAAAAAAAAGCAGGGGATGGATTTAGAAGCTTCCACACTGGAGAACCAGCATGCTTCCAACATGCCACCAGTCTGGGCCCCAAGATCCTCAAGGACAGAAGCTCCTTGAGGGACCTTGCCCTGTGTATCTCTTTGTCTAGCTGTTGATTTGTTTTCTTTGTAATAAATCAGTAATCTAGAGAGAAAACAGGTTTTTCTAAGTTCTCTGAGCCATTCTAATAAATTGATCGAACCCAAGGAGGGGAATCTTTGGAACCTACCTCCCATTTGTAGCTGGTTGGTCAGACGCACAGATAACAACCTGGGCTTGCTACTGGCATCTGAAGTGGGGGTCAGTGTTGTGGGGCTGAGCCCTTTCCTTGTGGAAGCTCAGTCTGTCTCTGGGTAGATAGTGTCAGAATAGT